TCAAGGTCTATCCTGAAGAATAACACTGTTAGTAATAGGATAATATCCATACAATTTCAAGGAAGACCAGTTAATATGACTTTTATTCAAATTTACACACCAACCACTAAGGCCAAAGAAGAAAAAATTGAAGATTTTTACCAACTTTTGCAGTCTGAAATTGATCAAACATGCACTCAAGATGCATTGATGATTACTGGGGATTGGAATGTGAAAGTTGGAAATGAAGAAGGATCAGCAGTTGGAAAATATGGCCTTGGTGATAGAAATGTAGCTGGAGATCGCATGATAGAATTTTGCAAGACCAACGACTTATTCAATGGAAATACCTTTTGTCAACAACGTAAATGGTGACTATACATGTCGACCTAGCCGGATGGAATGCACAGGAATCAAATCAACTACATCTGTGGAAAGAGACAATGGAGAAGTTCAATATCATCAGTCAGAACAAGGCCAGGGGCCAACTGTGGAACAGACCGTCAGCTGTTCATATGCAAATTCAAGCTGAAGTTGAAGAAAATTAAAACAAGTCCATGAGAGCCAAAGTATGATCTTGAGTATATCCCACCTGAATTTAGAGACCATCTTAAGAATACATTTGATGCATTGAACATTGATGACTGAAGACCAGACCAGTTGTGGGATGACATCAAGGATATCATACATGAGGAAAGCAAAAGGTCACTAAAAAGACAGTAAAGAAAGAAAGGACCAAAATGGATGTCAGAAGAGACTTTGAAACTTGCTCTTTTTTAAATTTTTTCCCATACAAAAATTTATACATACATTAAGTGACTGTAATTGCTCTCCCCATACTGTGACAGCGCACTCCTCCTTTCCACCCGATTCCCCATGTCCGTTCAATCAGCTCCTAACTCTCTCTGCCTTCCCATCTCACCTCCAGACAGAAGCTTCCCATTTAGTCTGTTGTATCTACTAGAGCCAAGAGGCACACTCCTCACGAGTATCACTTTATGTCCCACAGTCCAGTCGAATCTCTGTCTGAAGAGCTGGCCTCGGAAATTGTTTTAGTTCTGGGCTGATAGAGAATCCATGGGCCATGCTTTCTGGGGTTCCTCCAGTCTCAGTCAGACCATTAAGTCTGGTCTTCTTACTCGAATTTGAGTTCTGCACCCCACCTTTCTCCTGCTCCATCAGGGACTCTCTGCTGTGTTCCCTGTCAGGGCGGTCATTGGTGGTAGCTGGGCACCATCTAGTTCTTCTGGTCTCAGGCCGATGAAGGCTCTGGTTTATGTGGCCCTTTCTGTCTCTTGGGCTAATA